GAAGGAAGGAAGGAAGGAAGGAAGGAAGGAAGGAAGGAAGGAAGGAAAGCCTCTAGGGTTCATGTTTGGGATGACATTAAGTGCCACTGATCTTAACAGATGGAGAAATCACTGAGACTGCCGATGCAAAAGTGCAGCCTAGTCTTCAGCTGCCCATCAGCATCCATTTTGCATTGGGAGGGGTTAAGAAGCCCTTCTCCCCCCTCAAGAGCCTTGGAACCACATTCCAAAGTGACCTCACTCTGATCCTGCCGACTTTGGAAATGTGACCCTTGACATGAAGTTTGAAACCTCTTTTGGCTCTCAAGCTGATTGATCCAAGGAGCAGACTCCTGGCTGAGAAAATGCAGCCATGGCAAGAGTTAGGCATTTCCCCAAGCCACAGTGTGCTTTGGTTTCACCTACGTGTGTGTTGTGATTCCGGTTAAAAGATCCGGGGAGTCACCCGTGTGTGGTTGCGATGCCAATGACTGCCTTCCCCCAAATTTGGAAATGATAAAAAGTGGCTTTCTTTTTTTTAGGATATGACAAATGAAGCAGCAGCTTCACAACCATTTGGTGTCCTTCTGTTTCTTTAAAAGGTCTGATTTTCCAAAATCACCAAAAGAAGCTTTTCAAAGCTACATTGACTGGGGAATTCTGGGACATGAAGTTTACACATCTTAAAGTGGTTCAGGTTGAGAAACACCATTTTAGATCTTTTTAATTTTAAAGCTATGTTTGTTTTTAAAAAGGCACTTGACATATTTGGCTGGCAGCAGTATTTCCCTGTCTTTTTGGTTATATGACTATTGCTTCTACAGTCAACGTTTTTAAGGCACACTCCAGCCACACTTTCTTTGGTCCTAGTAACTTACTCAAAGACTTAGCATATACAAGCAAAACTTTCCCGCGCTTACTTCAGTTCCTGTGCCAGAGAATAAGGCACAGAATCAAGGGTCTGGGAGGAGTTGGAGAGTGATTTAAAAAAAGCTCCAGAAGGTGATCATGTCTACCTGAGCAAAGATGGATCACCTTGATTTTCTTGAATATCATTCTGTCCCCAACAGCTCTGCATAGGATCCAAATTAATTTTCACCCAGGTGAACTTGGAACATCTCAGAAGATGTGAGATGTAGGTTGTACTGTCCTTTTCCCACTGATCCTGTGACTAAATTATCGGCAAATTAAGTGCTTTTCAAAACAAGCCTTTTCCCCCCTCTATTGCTTCTTACAACAGAGAGAGGGAAACAGGCATGCTTAACTGATGCTCGCTGCACTTCCGAAGGGTTTGTCTTGCAATCCATTAAGCAGAAAACATTTCTAGCTTAAGCATAGCAGCTTTAAGGTCTACAGAACAAGCAAGTCTTACACCTCTTTTAAGAAGCTTCTATATTCACAGTTTCACGGGTCTGACTTTCCTGGCCCATTAAAACACCTGAGGCTTTTTTCTCTCCTGTGCTGTATTTTTTTCATTATTATTGCATTTAGTTGTTTACACTGTTGTACAACAAGCAAAATTATCTACAGAGAATTTTTCTCAGCCTTGTTCTGCAAGTTGGTTGTGGCTAAATACAACACGCAGTTTGACGGGGTGTCTCTGTAGGTGTGTTCTGGCAGATTGCTTTTAGGTTCTACAATAAATTTGAGTTTCAGGCTAGGTTTTGATCTCTATGCACAAAATATTGAGGATCATTATCCCTGGATAACAACCTCGGTATTAAGAATGGAATTTCCCTAGCAACTTTTAAAAGGGACAAAACTGGAAAATTGGTGTGCAGTTCAGAGTGTTAGAGAGCAAACCCCACCGAATAAAAGATAGACTGCAACAACCACAGCATTCAAAACATAATTTCATGGGGAAGGTTAGGAAATAAAAGCCAGAGAGCTTGAAAGACACAGCCTTCAGAGAATTGCTCTTAAAAGAATTCCCACTTGCACTTGCACACTGGGGCTCATGTACATTTGACTTCAAGGGCGAATAAGCCACGGTCTGGCTTCTCTACTTAGGACAGGATTTCTGTTAAGCAAGAAGAAAACCAGTAAGCTGGCTTAGAACACTGCATGGTCAGAGATGCAAAACCTGCCGGTCCCCCCAGGGCTGGTTGGCTACACTGGAGGAGCTGAGTACTGGATCACAGAGTTATAATCAGGAGGTGGGCTGTGGCATTCCAGGCTGGCATCCATTGGCAGAAGAATGGAGTCTTCCATCAGGTCATCCTCCACCGGAACGGTTGGACGGTACTTCACGGATTCTCGCTCGTGCTCGTTGAACACGGATTCCTTGCTTTTGTTGATTGCTTTCCTCCTGTGAGAAGATCCAGAAGAAAGTCATTAAAATTGGATTTCAACCCCACAGTAAATCACAATGCGGTTTGCTGGAGGTTGGCTGAATGGGTCGTGTGAATCTAGTCACTGAAGTTCATAAATCATGGTTTATATAGCAGGGCTGTCCAGAACCGAGTTTCTCAATCTTGGCAAACTGAAGATGGGATGGACTTCGATTCCTAGAATTCCCCAGCCAGCCAAGGCTGGAAAGCCCTGGTTTATGGGGGTCAGTGTTATGTAAACCCAACTAACATTGAATCACTCAGTCAACTGGAGCCTATTAGTGCAAAGTGCAAACGCAGGGACAACAAGCAACAAGTGTAGCTGTCTATAGCCGTGGACGGATCACATGCCTTTATATGCCTTTCTAAGGGGGCTTGAGTGTGTGTACACACACTCACCATCCTCCGTTTTACCACCTTGAACCTAGACATGACAGCTCCTGTCAGTTCATGTTTAAAGAGAACCTTTTAAACAAAGGCATTGACTATTTACTCTCCAGTCAAAGGGATGACAAGCTTGATCAAAAGCAAGTCCTGTGATTGACCACCCCCGGCAGACATGAAATGCAATTAGTTCCTAAAAAATATTCCTTTCTCCAGAGATGCATCCTCTGAAATTAAAACCCTCCAGCAACTCTTTAACTTTCTGTATTTGCTGACATTTCATTCCGTTCTCGCCTTTCTGAGCAGTTGACCCAACATTGTATCTCTCAGCGTTCTTTCCGTGGCAACAAGTCTTTTCTTCTGCAGTTCTCGAGCTCTTCGGATTCAGAGCCTTAAATGGCTGGTTTCTGTGTGCAAGAATCACAATCATTCCAACACATCTGGAAGAGCCTAGATTAGGGAAAGCTGTCAATGGTTTTAATTCAATAAGTGATTGCAATTAGGGTTTTTTTTTTGTTTTCTAATGTTTGTAAACAATGAAGGGGAGGGGAACTTTGCCCTGCCCAATTTTTATTTGATTTTACTACTGTCAGCCTCTAAGAATCCTCCTTCTGCTTGTTCTCTTTCCGGCTGCCATAGAAATGGGGGGGAGGGAAGAATAATTGGGCTTCGGGGGGGGGGAGCTGGAGGATGAAGTTGGTGAAATGTAAAAGTTGGGATGCTTTGTTGATTATGCTTACTTGCTTACTGCACAGATGTAGCCTCTTATCTGTCCAGGCCAAGGTCAACCGTCTTGTCATACCAGATGTCTGAAACATCACTTGAAGATGCCACACACGACATGATACACACCTCAGATTGGATGGCCAGTTTGAACTTTTGGGAGTGGGGACATGAGGTAACTTTCTATTTGTGATTTTCGCACCTCTTGTCTCGGACCTTGCATTTCTTCTGATGCTACCATTTCAAATTCAGTAAAAGTCCTTTTCTCTATAACCATGGAGCCTAAGGCTTTCTTGCTTGGATTTTGAATGGAGCTACACCTGACAACCATGCTCTGGCATTTCTGTAAGCAGCAGGCAAGTGGATGAATTACACCTGAATGTTTTAAAAATCCCTTACTTATACGACACAGAGGACATATGTGCAGTATGTAGCACCCCTTGGATTTCATGTATAAATGAACCAAGAATATACTATCCATTATATTTGACTGATTGGGCAATTTGTAATTATAACAAGCAAATCTATGGCAGAATTTTTGTAATTCAATTTCCTTAAAGGTTACAGCATGCCATTTGCAAAACGAGTTCTCGGAGATAGATATGCTAATGTTAGGAAACAGCCTGGCAGGGAGGAGGGAGCAAGCAGAGAGACACTCCGGAGTCACTGTGCAACTGTAAAAGGGCCAAAAATGGCCTCCCCTGAATTCATTGGAGTCTCATCTAATTGTTCCCAAGAGAAGGCTGCCAGACTGGGGAGATTCCTGTATTATAGGCAGGGCATAATAAAGTAGTTAGCTTGAATTCTGCAGGTATGGGCCTGGCTGACAGAATAACAGAGTTGGCAGGGTCCATGGAGGTCTTCTAGTCCAACCCCAGGAAACATTATACCACTCCACACAAATGCTGTCCAATGCCTTCTTAAAAACCTCCAGTGTTGGAACAAGCACAACTTCTGAAGGCAACACATTACAACTGGTTAATTGTTCCCACTTTCAGGAAATTACTCCTTGTTTGGTTCTCTCCTTCATTAGTTTCCACCCATTGCTTCTTGTCCTGCCTTCTCACCAGAAGCATAGCTTTGGAGACTAGCTTGACTCTCTCTTCTTTGTGGCCACCCTGAGACACCAGAACCCTGCTATCATGTCACCCTGAGTCCTTCTTTCCATTAAACTAGACATGCCCAATTTGTGCAAGTATTCTTCATATGCTTTAGCTTCGTTGCTCTTTTCTGCACTCTTTTCAAAGTCTCTATATCTTGTTTATAATATGGTGACCAAAACTGGATGCAGTGAGACAACTTCATTATGGTCACAAAAAGTGGCCATAATAAAATAGTTAGCTTGAACTCTGCAGACATGGGTGGAGTCTGGTTATGTGCAACTAACAGCTGACTAGTTCGAGGAGGGTGTAAGGAGGATGAGTTTTCACTCTTGTCACTTCTTCTTCCCAATTTTCATAGCGGGCATTTCCATTCCACCAGCATCACATGCCACAGCTGGTTTATATCCCTCCAAAAATTCATATGCTTGGCAACTGGTTCATACTTATGACCGTTGTTGTATCCCTGGGGTCATGTGATCCCCTTTTGTGATCTTCTGACAAGCAAAGTCAATGGGGGAAGCAGATTTATTTAATAACCGTGTTACTAATTTAACAACTGCAGTGTTTTATTTAACAACTGTGGCAAGAAAAGTCATAAAATGAGGCAAAACTCACTTAACAAATTTCTCACTTAGCAACATCAATTTGGGGCTCAAATGTGGTCATAAGTTGAGGACTACTTGTATTTAAGTTGATTACTATCTGTACCTGTGTTTAATGAGGTGCTTGGGGAAGTTTTCTTTGCAACAGAAAGGGATTTAAATGCAGTACTAATTACGAGTATAAACTGGAATTTGCTAATGTGAATGGGGCTGCTTAAATCACTGCCACCATCATCTGTAACTCAGAACAAATAACAGGATACAGAAATTGACCGGAATGGATTTCTAAAAGTACTAGTGTTAATATATAAAATGATCAGAATGTTGTATGGTAGTTGGATAATTTTTTAATCTGTTAATTTCAGCTTTCTTCCAGGTTGGAATTATGTGAAAACCTTTAGTACAGATTGTCCTCAAGTTACCATTCATTTAGGGACCACTCAGAATTAAAGGGCACTGAAAAAAGTGACTTTTGACTATTTTTCACACAACTGTTGCAGCTTCCCAATGGTTACATGATCAAAATTTTGATTCCTGGCAACTGGCATGTATTTGTGACAGTTGCAGTGTCCTGGGGATCACGTGACTACAGGACATAGCAATGGTCATAAATATGAACCAGTTGACAAGCAACTGAATTTTGCTGCAAAGGTCATAACTGTGAAAGATGGTCATAAGTCACATTTTTCAGTGCTGTTGTAACTTTGAACGGTCACCAAACAAACTGTTGTAAGTTGAAGATTACTGTAGTTACACTGAGATAACGTATGAGGATCCAGGAATGACAGTGCCTCTTGAATTCTAGTTCAGTGGTTCCCAAATTTGGCAACTTTAAGCCTTGTGGATTTCAATTCCCAGAATTCCCCAGCCAGAGTGGGACTGGGTTGGATGGCAATGTCATTCTTTTTTCCTTTTATGTTGACCCACATACTTTCTACAAGGCTTTCATCCTTTGTCCTGTGCATCTCTGTAGAGAGGCAGTGGTGTTTTACATATAATGCAACTCCATCTCCCTTTTTGTACATCCTAAATATGTATGTACATTGTAAATTTTATGTATTTATGTACAGTCTAGATACTTGGAAAATTAGAGATTAAGATGCTGGAATATAAAGAGGTAGACTTTGCTTAGCAATGGAAG